TATATGTATATGTATATATACACACATTTTTTAACTTTTTCAAGAACATCTACTTTAATTCATTCAGCTGTTTGGTGGAGGAGGCTTAATTCTTTTAATTGGGAAGGAGGATTCAACATGTGAAAGGAACTCTCTGAATTTTGTAAAGCAGATAGTAGTGCTTTCCTAGCTACTGGGATGATATTCATGGTGGGAGGAACTAAGGGCTGAATATTTCAAATAGCTGTAAACATGGCTTGTTTACAAGTCTCCCCTCTCAGATGAGATTCTTTAACTTAAAAACTCTACTTCACGTACCTTGAAAAGAAGACTGTAGGAACTGCCACAATGGATCAGATCCATTGACTCTGTAGTCCAGTAGCCTGTATCCAACAGCAACCAATGACCAAAATGACTTGCTTCAATTGAAATTATGGTTCATCTCTCCTTCCCCCGTGATCTCCCAGCATAGACCTGATTTAACATAATAACTAGAGATGGCTTTGTGCCCTGAAGGTTTAATACTTAGTCAATCATATATACTAATTCTGTGTAAAGGAGCACAGGAAGCAGGGATATTTTAAAGGGCTTAATGTTGGCCTGATGATTATCCAGTCTGAGTCAGTGGGATTTATTTTACCATTCAGCAATAGCAGAATCACAGGAAGTCTGACTCCACCCCAGATGGTCAGACACTCACCATGCCTGCTCATTGCTCACTACTGAGATTTCATTAAGTTTTCAAGGTTTGTTGCAAATGCTGCAGAGTATGCAACCTCCAATTGACTGTAACTTTTTTTTTTTTAATTAAAGCTGAAAAGTAAAGATGACCTGAATAGAATATTGAATCTCCGCTTTGTACTTTTATTTTATGTATCTTTGTTTAGCATCAAATCACCAGATGGATCCAGTACTGAAAGGGGCCTGTTTTCTCTTTCAGACATTCTGGAATCTCATGAAAACAACCTCAGTATATTACTGTTAATACATCCAATTTACTCTCAAACTTAACTTAAGTTACAACCCTGACCTAGCTCTGGACACTACTGGTCCATTCCTGATAACAATGGACTTTCATTATCATAATGCATAGTTTTTGTCAGGCATGATCCTTTGAGGCTGCACGTCCTAACATAATGCTAATTCTCTGGTCTTTTATGATCTCTCTTTTGTAATCATCTGAAAGCATCTTATAAAAATCAGTTGACACAGCTGTGAAATATACAATTGATATATTCTTTGGACAGTTTAGGGAATCAAATACTGAAAAATTAAATTCGAACCCAAATCTTATAGCTAGTCCATTGCACCTAAGCAAAAAATCTTGGATCCTAGCCACCCTATTTCCGTGAAAAGAAAAAGATTGCTTCACAATAGCTGTGTTGCTAATATAATTTTTCACAGTTTTTCAAGCTCCCACCATTTCCCTAAAAGATGTTTGGAAAATGAAAAGCAATGTAAATTTAAGTCAATAGACGTTCTCAATACAGAATGCTAAAACAGAAGACACCACAGATTTCTGATGTAATCTTGAAAGTCAAATAAAACCGTCTGTGGGTTGGTTTTCCTGCATGTGTAGAGGACTAGTAACACTTCTGATTTTTCATTTCTTGTCTGTGTGCTTTTAAAATCTTTGGGGATAATGCCGCCGTTTATTAGAAATCAGTGTATCATGTGGGATCATGAGGCTATGATCCCAGCTGGGACTTGTTGAGGCTACTGAAATACAAATAAATCGAAATATCATAGTAAGAATGTTTTACGTTTCTATTGTATAGTATTCCTGCTCACAGATAAATTGACTAATATGACCATTTACGTTAGATTTTTGGTCTGTCCTTTCATCTCATGGAAGGCAAGATATAATAACTAAAATGTACAGTTTGTGGTGATTTTGCATCCTACATACTCTCTGAAAATGGACTTTCTAATAGCTTTAAGAAACAGTACATTCTTTGGGATCCATGAAGTATTTGCTGTGTAATGTAACGCTGAATGACCACTGGGTGGCTGCACTTCCCTTTGACATATCATAGCCCTTGATCCTTTTTGTAATCCCAGTATATATTTATTAAGATGAACAATGGAAGGATACACCCAGAAATCTGGAAATATTGAAAAAACAGGCTTCACTGGTCTCTTATTTGTACACTATGGTCCATTGGCCCGTACACTGAAAAGTTACAGTGCTATTGGAAAGCACTATCAAACAGCAATAAATGTGCAGAGGAGAAAGGGAAATGCAGAGATGGGTTAGCAATAAAGCAAGCATATTCTGCACATTTATCTTGTTAGTCTCCATGTCCTGGCCACTGTCCAATTTGAGTAATTCTACTCGATATCCTACTGATGCACAGCTATTTCCATATTCTGATTCCCTTTTCCATATTGGCATTCACCAAGAAGCCTCCTGCCATGCCCTGGGATAATCCTGGTTAGTAATTCTGGCCACAGCCACCCGACATCTCTTCACCTCAGCCCAACCGAGAAGTTGATCTGTTATATTAGGGAGGCTACATATATGTAATCATCATTGTAGCTTCTCAACATTTCCATTTTCAGGGATGAAATCTTCCAAACCAAACTCATAACTGATGGACTATTTAAGCTATCTCCAAAGAACTTTTCACACTGAACAATTACTGGCACTATAACAAGGCAAATAATGTGAAATGATAAACAGCACCAATGCGAGTGGCAGAGCAAACAGTTCAGCTGCAGTGTATCCTTTGGTACTGTGAGCTGGAATAGCATGTGTTATTTTCATAATACTGATTGCTATCCACTGCCATGGAAAGTCCTACTGGAACTGGTAGCATGGAGGCTTTAGGAAGAGATAAAATATTCTGGTTAGATCTGTATGTGTACTGATTCTGAAAAGTGGTGGTGATGACCAGTTCTGCCTGATGCTCACTATGCCTCAGTAACTTTTTTTTCCATTAACTGAAGAAAAAAAGGGTAAAGACATGAAATAATTTATTTTTGTTAGAAAAAAAATAAAGTTTGCATTTCCAAAAATAAGGGTTTGCTGCAAACAAAAGAAGGTGAAATGTCTTGGAATTGGCAGATGTTTAAAGTTGAAAAAGGAGAAAGAAAAAAAAATTGCCAGTAAATAAGAATGCATCAATAATGCTCCAACATGTAGGCGCAGATGTGCCAGGAAAATACCCTACCAAGCCCACCCCCACATCAACCAGAGAAAAAGTTGCATTGTAGCTGACAACATTCAGGACACTCGGAGGAAAGGAGAAAGCAAATGGTATATCACCAGAGGGAATGAAGCCAGGGAACTGTATGCAATGCAACCTCCGTTCTCTCAATACAGCAGAAATGAAAGAAGAGTTCTCAGTTTAAATATAGCATTGGCCAATTGCTGTGTGCTGTGCAGTCATGCTGAAAGGTTTCCATCCTGATGACAGTGCGAGTGGGAGGCAAACTCTTTTCAACCAGGCGCTACACTGGTATGCATTGTTGTGCGATAGGATTTCCTGTGGTATTGGGTAATTTGTGCCAAGAGCTTGCAGTGGGTAAAGGTTTCATTTCAGTCTCTGCAGTCTCTGCAGTTTCTGCAATCTCCAATCAGAGTCTTTAAAAGAGAAAGTTTAGATGAACATTTGACTTATAATTTAAAGCTTTTCCACAGAATAAATGTTCAGCACTTCTGTCCCTCCATTCATTAGCAAGGTCATTATTAGTCTACAAAGCCAGATGTAAGTGCAGTGTGAATGGCAGAAGGGTGCCCTAGAGCCTTTCCCTGCTCATCTAACATGAAACGTGCCAGAGTGGGGAAACACTAGAGTAGGTGAATAGAAGAGCAGGATTTAGCTGCTTGGATTGCCATAAATCTGAACCTGTCCTTTGAGTGAAATTAAAGGTTGTCTTTGCGCAGGTGTCTTAACCCAAGAGTATCTTGACTCTTCTGTCTTGTGAAGTGGGAATAATGCACCTCATCCATCCCTGGAAAGGGCTTCAAGACATCTGAATGAAAAGTGCTATTTAAATGCTAAGTGTTATCTTTAGGACACTCTGCTGCATGACTATGCTAGATGCAAATATTCAGTCCTCCGTCTTCAATGAACATTGGAGAAGATTAGATCAGAACCTTGGGCCATTTCTAGATTACCACTGAATACAGATCTGGGGCTAATAATATCTTTTCTGCCTTGGAACAGCATCTTCTGCAGACAAGGGAGATACTATTTGTTTCATAATTTCTGTTTCATCTTCTTTGCTTCTCCATTGATTAAAAGTAGTACTCTTTAAGAAGAGGTCAGTGTTATATTGTTGTTGGTTTAATTTGAAATCCTGAGTCTCTCAGGTTTAAACTGTAAGAAAGAGTAGTGCCAATACAATACAGCTGTTTGCCATATGTGTTGGAGAAAGGAACATGTGATTGTGAGGAATATGATGACATCTGAACCGATTAAGTATTCATCCCAAGGTGAATGGGTGTATCTGTTATATATTTAGCCAGTCTCTTTTACCAGCAGACTTAGAGCAGTTTAAAAGCATAAAACCATAAAAAGAGGAAAGATCATAGGGTTTTGTGAGGGAGAACGACAGAAGTGGAGGAGAGGGCTTATCATGAGCAACAGTGATGAAAACAGTGGGAGGTATATAAATGGAGTGGAACCACTCTAAGGTTCTCCTTCCGACACATACATTACGGTAAGAATGGCTGGTTTCCAAAGACTTTTTTATCACCGGGAATATCTGCTTCACTATTGATTGCTTTTTAATCCTGTTAAAAAAATCTCTTTGTTCTCATTTTGTTTTTCTAGTCCTCATCCTGTATCTCGTTATTAGAGTCCAAAGCATCTCTAAAATTGGCACCAAGTTAACATGATACTGATGTAGATCGTCACAATATATCCAAACAGCCTTGTATAGAATAAGCCTGTAACTTTACCATATCGTGATAGGCCATCATCAGATAAACTTATATCTTTGCTGTATGTAAAGAGCTCTGCATAGGACAAACTTACGCTTTGGCCTTTCTTCCCGTAGGGTGAAGTTTGTCTCTAGGTAGAGAGGAAGCAATTTACACCCTTCAAAAAAACTTCAGGGGATGTGAGCAGTGTAGAAATGTCATTCTGAGGCTCTGTAGAATGTACGTACATATTCAGACTTTGGAAAGAAACACACCTACTATCAAAAATGTGCATAAGTAATGGTATTGATCAGCTTCCTTCTCCTTTTTCAGCTTTCCTCCTCTGGCAACGCCTTCCATTGCTGCAGCAATGGTGAGTGTGCTCTGTTCAGCCTCTGTTGTGCACTCATGTCACCTGAATCAGAATGTGATAAGGTTTTTTGTCTCCTTGAACTTCTACTCCTGATCATTTTGGGAACACAGTATATCTAGGTATTTAGGATATGAGAGATCTTTTGCGATTCCAGTAGTATTTTTTCACTTGCTGTATTAGTTATGCATGGTGACAATCACATGACTATAGCTAAAATTTGTTTAAACAAGGAAGAAAATTATTTAAACAAGGAAGAAAATTAATTCCCAAGCCAAGTGCTAAGGGGTTTAGATGACCAAGGACAAAGAATTTGTGTAAAATCCAAAATAGCCAGTAAATGACAAAATATCCATTAATGGATGGTTGAGGCACAGTTTAAAGCACAAATATACTCCTTAAAAATTGTCAGTTGAAATAGGAAGAAAAGCCTTTAGTCTTTTTTGTAGGTCATTCACAACTCAAAACCACTGTATCCAATAATTTAAAAAAAAAAAAAAAATTGGAGGCCTCGTTCTGTTCCAGTACTTGTAAGAAAACTGAAAAGCACGGCACAATAGAAATTTCAAACACAATCTGACTGGGTAGAATTGTTCATTGTATAGTATAATGATAATATGTAATAGAAGACATGATTGTTATCTCTTTCTGTTTTGCAGTAGCTACTAGTGATTGTCTTCTTGAGAAACCAAAATGTGTGGTTTTGTCTCTACTAACTGTAAAGAAATTTCTCAGGACTGGATAGGAACATGTGCCTTCCCAAGTCAACACATTTCCTGTCTTTGTTGGCACCTCACAGGCAGCCTGCAGAAATGCATAATAGTAGCTATCTGACTGTATAATAATGTATAATAAATGGACTGGTCCAGGCAGGTGGAATCTAAAGGGTGACCCATTACATGTTGCTTGGGCTGTGCTGGAGGGTTTGCTATTTAATAGTCAGTGAATCCAGATCTGAGAAAAGAGTAAATACACTGTGTAATTCCTGTGTCAAAATGGAAACAGGTATTTGTATGCAACACCTAACACAATTAGAGTTCACTGGTGGTGTTTTCTTCAAGGCAGCAGGTTTAATACTTTCTTGATACTTGCCATATATATGGTCTGATGTAGATCATCAGCTGCAGTGCTTTGTGGTTACAAGGCATAGTGAAACTCAGGTATTTGCAGTGGCACATTAAAACTCGGTTGGCTGCTCCTTGCCCTCAGAGCTTCATAAGCAAGACATAAGTTTTAAGAGAAAATCCATAAGAACATGATTATGTTCCAAAACAGAGCTTCAGATAGACTTCTAGTGAGAGACTGACACATTTTCAGAATAATTAATAGGTTTCCTGTGGTCATTGAAGTGATCTCATCCATAAGTAATCATGGCAATTTACATGCCCGGTGGTGAAATGGACATGGATCAGTCATCCAGCATGGAAGATACAGGATCTAGTTAAGACAGGGAAGGAATGGCAAGTGAATCTATATGGACAGGAGAGTACCTAAGAAAGCATAAAAACGTCATTGTATCAAAAAATGGATGTACTGTAAAGTATGTAGGATTTACAATTTTCTTTCTTATTTTAAAATAGTAATTATTAAAATGGCATATTTTAATGATATTATATTTTTAATTTACCATGTCATATATATATGTGAATATATATTTTATATATACACACACACACACACACACACACGCATACATACATACATACATACATACATACATACATATGTATCAGAAGGCAAGGCTAGAGCAGATGATTGTATCATCCAATCTAAATTTCTGTATATTTCACTTTATTAATTTTCCTTCAGATAACCAAACTGGCTGAGGAGATCCTCTGTATCCTCTAGAGTGCCATTCTGTCCAAGGCTGCAGCATCTTCCATAGTGGCCAGTCTGTGATGTCGCAGAGGGAGGAGAAATGCACCAAACCAAACAACCAAAAATAAGTCTGCTAACTAAACAGAAAAATGATCAAATGAACATAGTAGCTCTTGAAGTTGTTCATCAGGATGGAAAAATAAGTTCTAATTTATTCAGGCAACAGTCTGAAGCGTGAGGCTGAAACACAGCCACTTTCTGAGCACAGATCTGGTGATACTCTTCTGCAGCACCAGCCTAAGCATCTGCTTGCCCAAGTTCCATAAGAAAGAAGATTTACTGACTCTACCTCCAGCAGAGAACCATAAGCATTTACTTTAATGTCTGTAACCTTACTCCCAGGAGCTGGCTTTATGCACATTCTGTAAAGAATTGCTGAACTCCTCCAATTGAGGAGGATGTAATCATCTCCCCTTAATATCTATAATGTCTGATTGTCTTCACACCAATAATGCCTCCTCTTATTTCAAGATTAGTTTGTCATATTCAAACTTCCAGCTCTTGATGCACAGTAAGTCTTTTACAGCAAGCTTGTGTTGGCATATCTGCTGTTCATCTCTCACCAGCGCACTTACATGGTATGATAGCTCATGAAATATACAGAAGAACTTCATGAAGGCCTTCTTTAATAGCGAGAGAAACAAATGCAGAAAAAATGAAAGCATTTGCTTATAGTTGTCTGTGAGTAGAGAGCTAAGCAAATGAAGAGCAGAAATCGGCTTTAACTGAGTACTGTGGAACAAGTTTTAACCATCAGAATGATGTGGTTAGAAGAGTGGAATAGATCGCTTCCTAAGTGAAATTCAGTGGGTGTGAATAGATCCTGTGACTACATGACTAAGCCTTTTCACAACTCTACCAAGAAACAGTAGGTCTCCCTGGAGTATGGCAGACCTTGCAAAAGCAGTAAATTGCAGATTTTGGTCCTTAAAGGACTTTGTTACTCAAGGCTTTACATCTGCAGATTTAAGCATTTATATAAGTTGAGCTTTTAGCTAATATTATTTAAATAGGGCTTGGAATGTTGTAGGCAGCCAAAATTAGTCTTTCCTCTTAACATATGGTATGATATGGTATAACAGAACTTCTAAGCCTTTAATCTTGCTAAGTAGGAGAGAGAGAAAAATCAAACGTTTTTAGGTCAATAGGCAGCTGATAGCATTATTACGTTGATGTGAAGTACAGCAGCTAGTGTTGAAGTTATGTTTTGTAACTGCAAAAGAAAACTGCTGTATTACAAATTCCTTAACAAAATGCAGGTATTTAAAATCTGCCTTAGAATGAAAGCTAACTTACACATACAAGAGAAATGACTGCTTCTGTGCCCTGCAAAAAAAGTACATTTAAGTATGCCAAACCATAAGAAAGTCACAGATCCAGTGGTTCAAACCATTATACAGTAAACCTATAGATGCAATTTCTTTTTCCTTAAAGTTAAGCACATGCATTTACTTTGCAGAGCCAGAACCAAAATTTCATTCTCCATAGGTTGTTTATTCTTTGTGTTAAACACAAATTTTGTGAAGCAGAATGAAACCCAAAGGTTTCATATGCACCTTCAGGTCATTCTAAAGTATTCATCTGATTTCAAGATGAATAAAGTTTTCTCTAAGTCTTCTGAATTTTTACTTCAGGCATAGTAGATTATATTCCTGATCCTGCGAGTACTTAAGCATGTTCTTAATTTTGTGCAACCCTTTGATCCATGTAAACATAAAAGTTTACTCCGGTGTCTTAATATTTGAACGACCAGGCATGTAAGAGTAGCAATATGTATTTACTCTGAATAAAAAGGAACAACAACAACAGAAGTTGGAGTATTTCACAGTCTAAGACTGGACAAACAAATTCTCCTTTGGGGCGCATGTGGCAAATCTCAATTCCCACGCTCTTCTCCGAAGTAATACTTGAAGCTTAACTACTGAAGTAACTAGGTAGCTACTTTAAATCAGAACATATACTTTGAATGGCACAGCGAAACCAGTATCTTTCTGTGGCAAGATTTGCATCATATGAGAAGGGACAGATCTGCATATGTTTATCACCACTGAGGTTGCATCCAGCTGTGCTCTACGTACCAGAAGGGGGAGAGAGAGGCACTGGGTAAGCAGGTTTCTGCTCCTGCAATATGATATCGAGTCGCTACTATATAGGAGAGATCAAGCAACACAAAACAAAACATGCAGTTCTCTTGCTACGTCTGGGCAAGACCTATAGACATCAGTCAAGGTGCGAATGGACTCTAAACAAGCCAAATGGATAGATATCGCCCTTCTTCCACAGCTAAAATCCCATTTGTTTAAATACCTGCCATTTGTTATTAAAGCTGTGCCAAATAGAAGATTGTAGTTGGTAAAAGATAGAAGTAATGCTTTTAATTAAAGCAGATTCTTAGAATGTTTCATTTGATAAAGAAGTCTCCAGATAACTTTGTTCCTTAGGGGCAGTCCTGTTGATCTTGTATTAATCCAATGGATTTCTGTCACTTGGAAAAAAAGAAAAAAAATACAAACTATAAAGTGTTTGATTGCCCTTTTATCTTTATTCCATTTTCCTTTGGCTTCATTTTAAAAAATAATTTCCTTATCTGCTGTGCAGCCTCTGCTCGGTCCTTGTCAGAGAAGTGTTTCTTCTTTGACACTATCAGCATTAGTACATTTACTGAGGTTAAACTATCTGTGTTGTCTAGAAAGCGGTTACTTTGCTGGCTCTAGACTTAAAAGAAATGGAAAAAAAATGTTGGCAAACTGCTTATTAAACAATGCATGGTATTTAATGAAGCATTCCCAACTATAAAGGACGTAACACCACAGATGAATTACAAAACTAACATTAAATTTGGGTTGCTCTCAGAATTCTACTTCTGCCTTCCTGAATAACTGTCCCATTCTGACACCGCCGTCTCCTCTCTGCCAAGCAGTAGCAGATGACAAGTCTTTTGTGCTGATTTCTCAGTAGAAGATCAATCAGTGATGGTGAAACAGGTTATAATCCAAGCATAACTGTATTTCATTTACTGTCCTGGGCCAGAGGTGGTCAATCAGCAAGCGGAATAAAAATCTCTATGTTTTTCGGAAAAATGGCCTTGCAAATGTTTTAAATCAGGGAGCAAACCAGAAAGTAAATCTGTAGGTTTTCACATAGTTTCTTCCCTGATCCATTCTTTCTACATAGAATTTGGCATAACAAAAAAACTAACCGCTCCATGTTTCATCTTAGATATTTGCTTTCCCACATGCATACACATGCATATACGTGCGCGCGCGCGCGCGCGCACACACACACACACACACAGAGGAATTAAGAAGCCTGTATATTTTACTGCCCTCCTTGATAGTACCTTCCGTAACACTTATTTCTTTACAAAAGGAATGATGTTCCTCCATTCTCAGAGCTCACGGATCCTGCCCAAAAAGACTGTTAGAAGCCTGAAGGACAAAACAAGGTTTCAAATAAGCATCAGGATCTGCATCACCGTACCTTTGTGTGATATGAGAATGGGGTAGCAAATTCAGTACTGAAATAACTTTTTATTATGTCTTTATATGTTAAAAAAAAGGCTGACTTTATTCTCAATGAACCACACTGATGCTTCAGACTGAGAGGTGGGGAGGTATAAAAAGTATTTTAGGCCTGGTTAGGCCTGGTATACTTTCCTCTGTGGGACATCTAGTGTCATCTGAACCTTCCAGAACCCTGTAATAATGATACAGCAGTTTTCCCATCATCCCGTGAGTGAAGTCATTTCCTTTGCTACTTTGATTCTAAATCAAATATTTCTACTCTTATCTGTTCTTGCGGAGGAAGAGAGTGAAAGAGGGGACACTTTTAGAATGAGAGAAATTTTCCCAATGGATCCAGGACAAAAAAAGGCCAAAATGAGTTCTTTGAACCCTCCGACATCTCATGCGTGTCGAAAATAAGATCGTGTGAAGGCCAAAATGAGTTCTTTGAACCCTCTTTATCTTGAAAATAAGATCGTGTTGATACAGATATGAATGAACTGGCTCTGTCAGAAAGAGGGGAAATAAATGTAACACAGGTTCAGAATATCACCTGGGAGAAAAGACAATACAATAATTCGATATTAAATTACTTTTAATTTGTGTCTGTCAAGTGAAAGGAAGTTCACTCCCAGAAGAAGACTTGAAAATAAGAGGACAGCTTTTCTCTATAGGTAATCAAAAAGGATGAGAAAAGATATTCAAAGAAAAGAATTTTTTACGTGTGATGAGTTTGTTAAAATAAATGGGTGCAGGCTGTACACTGAATGGCCCAGATGTGAACCACCTGCAATTTGGGAATTATAGAACAGTGCTTGAGCCCAGTTCTAGTGTAAATACACACTAAAACATACCGGTGTGCTATGCGGTATCTGAAATGCAGATAGATTTTGTGCGTCAGCTCAGAGAATGGACAGAAAGAGGTCATCCCTTCCATATAGGCATGTACTGCCGTATCATTAGCTCATAACGCACATTAGCCAACTAAAAGGAAACATTTCCAGGAAAGTAATAGATCTGGTAGTTCCTCTAGTTCAGTAGCCAACTTTTTTTCTTTGTTCCCATGATGACTGGTCCTCATAACATATGAGAAAAATAATTCCCTTTGTTTAGAAACATTGAATAATCATATCTTTAGAAGCTCAACTCTTGGCAATTTGTAATCTAGATATTAACACTTTGAAATGAAAAAAACAATGGCTACTTAAGACTTTGCAACCAAACGGAATGGTCAGTTTGAGATTTAAAGTACTACGGAGGGAGAAATGGAGCTTTTTGTAAATGAAATATTTTTCTGTCACCATTGTCAGAGAATTTTTCCTTTTTTTCTGACAACTTTGAAGTTTTTTCAGTAACTTTATATAGAACTAAGATGCTTCTACTTCCAAAACAAGAGATCAAACCCTTGGAGCTAAAGGCAAATCAACATTTGATGATGTTTTCATAAAACCATCAAGGAATTTAGACTCCATCTAGCAGCTGATGTCCATGAGCCAGTTCATTATGCCTTCAGTCAAAACTGTGCACAACTTTTTGATTTCCTTTTACAGGAGTCTAGCCCCAGGAATGGTGTCAACAGCAACGCAAGAGCAAGAAGATGAGTTTAGAGCTCTCCTATTGAGATGGGGTTACGTGAACCTCATTCCACATTGGGTAGTGGGGACAGCAAGAGTAAGTAATTTTCTGAGGAAGAAGAGAGAGCAGGCCAGCTGGCAGCTCCTGAGGACCACAGAGAGCAGGAAAAGAGCCATCTGGAGCAGATAGGGAAAAGGGTTGTGAGGTGCTTGGAGAGAGACCGTGGGAATGGACAGAGAGAAGTCTTCAGAGGTAGGTGGGAAGTGTATTAGAGAACTTTGGTAAATGTGAATAGGGAGCTTGCATCTGACATGATAAGACATGGTGCTGATGAAGGGATTTGTGGGCGGAGAGGGAAAGGAGGAAAAGAATTTGTTAGCTGGGACTTGCTAGGAAATGAGAGGAAAAGCTAGAGAAGAGAAAATCACAAAACTAGTGGAAGGAGGTAGCCAAGAACCAAACTGGGCTTTTACTGAGAGTGCAGTTGCTAGAATTTTAAATAGCAAAAAGAATAATTGATTAGATTTAATGACAGGGTTCCCATCAGAAATACGTACGTAAATTTTTATATGTATGCATATATTTAGCTGTCTATGTACATACCCATACATATAGAAGTGGTACTAACACAAGTTCTGTTTCCAGATCACACTGTTGTAATTTATGGAGAGGCTAAACTTGATCTGTGCTGTAATTAAACTTTAGAGCAGTCTAGCTAAGGTAACATGGAGTTTTTAAGTGTTCAACTGAAAGTGAGTAATTTAAAAAAACAATATATTACTGTAAAGTGGATTAAGAGAGAAACTGTAGGTAGTGAGTTTCACAGCAGATCAGCTGGTCATACACTCTCTGCTGGCTTTAGCATGTGTGACAATCAGAGAGAGAAATCTAAATTTCAAACACTGAAGGTTTTGCTGCTCTGTCCTGGGTTTGGCTTCTAAGCTGATTTAAAGAGATCCATGGGCAAAGCCAAGTTAAAAAATTGGTATCACAGACACATCAAGTAGTAGTCCTGGGTATTACAGAAAGGCCTTACATAAAACTAAGTGAATTTTCTTTTGGTAATTAAGGGCAGATTCTCATCTGCCCGGGTAACTTGACCTGAACTATTTCTCTAGAAGGAGTCACATTTGCCATTCTAGGGTGTCTAAAATTAGGCAGATTCAATCTTCCAATAAAGGCTTACTTTTCTCCATTGACTGCCCAGGGAATTTAGGACCTTCCTTTACAGTGACTGCCACATCAGGAATATAATAGTATGGATCAGATGACCACATTGGATTCGTTGGATCCTCAGCTGAAAGGGCTGCTATGAAAGGGTTGCTCAGCCATGCTATTGATATCTTATCCACTAAGAGAACTTGAAGTAGCACTTTTCTTTTAGGTCTGGTATTTGTGAAATACTTGTTAAATCACCTCAGATATCATTAGATGGGTGCCAAGGAAATTTAGGATGAATTCCAGTTCAATGAAAGTAGCTTTCCAAAAATCTGTACATTTTGGACACTCACAAAGATATCAATTTAGATATACCTCATGAGAGATTTTCAGTGCCATAAGCTGTTTTCTTTGAGATTCAGGCAGAAAATATTTTCTCAGGAGCCTAGTATGTTTGAAATATCATTTTTGGTGGGTAAGAGCAGAATCACATATCTCAGCTGAATTATTCATATTTATAAAATGTATAGTGTTAATTATCTCAAAAGGAATCTACTATTTGCATTCTCTCGTCTATATAGAAAAGCTCCCTTTTTTTTTTTTTTTGATTTTGCACTGCTTCTGCAAAGTGTGCTAGTGACCTGAGTTCAGTTTGATTGCCCCTATTTCTCCATTAATCACAACTAGAAGTTCTCGTTCCCATCTCATGTTTTATGTAACACAAAGCCAAAACAGAGTGGAAATAGAGGGAGTAAATTGCAAGGTCACACAAGTAATCTGCAGAAGAACTAGGAAGTGAAGCCAGACAACCTTGTACTTTCATTGCAAGGCCTCTCTCCTCCTCCAGCCCCTTTTAGCAAAAATGCCTAACACCTTGGTACTTTGGGCAGGTTTCCATACTCGGTACATCTCTGGAGGTCAGAGAAGGGTGGGAAAATCTCACTTTGTCAGTGCGTGGGAGGGCTTTGACAGCTGCAGGGCGGAGTTGGGGCCCATCTAACCAATTTGGCAGCCCTCACTCTCCTCTGGCCTCTGGAGATGGTGACCTGGAATGCAAAGCCTCCACGTTTGTGTGGTCTCATGCCTATACATGCTGCACATGCCTAATGCTAGTCCTGTTATAAGAGATAAATTAAAGAAATTATTCAGTTATGTAGAAATCTTTATCAAAACCCATGAGCTCAGCACAATCCAAAAATATCTCAGTTTTATTTCTGGGAGAAAAGGTAAAAAAAAAAAAAGAAGAAACAATGAAATGAAGGAAAAAATTACCTTACTACAGCCAATTAATGTGAAAAGAGTAAATATATCTTTGCTGGAACTTAGCAAAAGAAAAATTTTGGCCTGTTCTCTAGTGTGGCATTATCTCAGACTAAGAAATAGGGTGATGAATTTGTAGGGATACTCACTGGAGAAACTACTTGATTGCAATCTGGCCTGCTGCTTAAGGAAAATAAAATTGAGTTCTCATCAGGCAACAAGCCTGTATAAGTTAATAGGCTTTAATAATAGCACCTCATTACATTCTTATAAAACTGCCTGGGAAATGAATGCTGGAAATACAAAGAAAAGCTCTATGGGATCATAGTTATAAAGCAAAGATAACATAGTCAATATTACAGCATTTCAAAATAATGCATCCACTATACTGGATACCACACAGAATTCAGAGACTGGGATTAAGGCCAAATAAGCTTTTTTGAATGGATGTCCAAAGCAGATGGGAGACCTGACTCATGCTTTGGAATAGAAAAATGATTTCTGGGACAAGGTGTTTGAGAAGCTTGATAGCAGTCAGAAAATTAGGGGGTGCTAGTACACTGGATGTTGATGTCTACTGTGGTCACTATTAAAAAAGTCACATTTGCCAGTAAATAATAATTTTACTTTTGCATCCAAGACACACTGCTTCTTTCCCATGGATTGTTAATACCTCTGTGCAGTAACTGTTGACAAATGTTTACATTTCTGAAAAATGATGAGCACTGTGTTTGTGAACTTTGAGGCATTTCTGTTCCCAACAATTGGCTATTACTCAATTCAGTGGTAATGCAATTGTTAGACTCAGTGGAGGTAACAGCAACAGAGGACACTTCTGAAAGGATGCATGAGAAAACAGCACAGACCATGGAAGTTTGTTTTTGTATTAGGAAGGTAGTTCACATAGCCAATAGTAAGTGTCTAGTTTAGGTGTTTAATGTGGGAGCCAGGGCTCCCAAGGCTGACTATGGAGGCAGGAGCCTCCAGAGCATTATTCAGCATGTCATAATTGGAGTGTAGGTAGGATACCAGTTTATCTTAGTCTTAGCCTTCTTAGCCTTCTTCTTTCCATCTACTATACACAGAGCCTGGGCAGATACTTAAATCAAGCAACTAAAGTTAGGCAAGGCAAATCTCATGCTTTCTGCTCCAGTGTGTTAAGTTCTCCCCAGTGCTAAGGTCTCTGGAAGCGACGCATGCTCAGTACTTCGTAGGAGGTGTTTAGTACATCAGGGGAGATCTCCTCTGATCTTGTGTTCTCAGTGGTAATAGTATATTTTAATTAGTAGATCAAACTTGTCAGCTTATCACTGTTAGTTGCAGACTCGAGATGAGGCTTTCATGCTATGCTCACTAACTGCTCTGGTATAGAGACATATCTTATCTTCATCTATTTTGAAGGATGTTCTTCTGTGAGTTTCTGGTGACCACTCTCAGCATGTGTGGCTAATTCATACCTCATGGGGACTGTCTATTTTGACTCTGAGGAAAGGTGTCATAAGAGATGGGCTCAAACCAGCATGTGACACATTCCTTGAATGGATGGTTCTCCCCTCCCACTGAGGAGAACTAAGGGCAAAAACATGGCCTTGACATGGAAAAATTTCAGAAGGCAAGATTCACATCTCTGAGTTCAGTAAACACCAAGCGTGAGTGCTCATTAAATATTAAATAGTACAGTTCAGATCTGAATCCAAACTTCTCATCTTGCACCATTCCAGCAAAGCTGGTTATGAACTGGAACACTAGTCAGAAGCCCCTTTGAACTTTGGAGGAATTTTGGTTCTGGATCTAAAACGTGAATTCAGTAGTGTGTAAGAAGGGCTTTCGGTCAAAAGGGAAGCATGAAAGGAAATCCTTCAAGATTATTTTTGTAATATATTGGAGTAAGCAGCAGAGAAAAAGAGGTCAAGTCATTTGTGATTTGCATTCTAATAGCCAAAAATTATCTAAAAATACAAATTAAAAATATGAAACAGGCTCCTATGGGTACATTTGAACTACTATTGCACAAAAGTTTTAGCTGCAGAAAAAAACTTTATAACACCACCTGCTGTTCTGCTGGTTTTGACCTGACCCCTTTCTCCTTTTCTTGTTATTATAAACAGTGAGCTCTTTAAGTGAGAGCTGTTTAAAGGATAGGGGGCTGTAAGTGTTCCTTCCTAGATCCCAGATGCAGTGGGAGACTGATGGGCTTTTTGATCTTTATTTTATGAGTGTCTGATAAATTGCCTCTGGCACCTGGCAACTGAAATTTCACTATCTGAAAACTAACCCTTATGTCAAACAATGTGGCCAGTCTCATACTCTGAGTTAAAGAGCTGCATGCATTTAAGTACAGGATGTTTTCCAACATTCAGTACAGTATGTGGTGAAGCCCTGCTTCACGTATTATTATTAGACAGATCCTCAGCTGATGTAAATTGGCATAGCCCCATATGATTAAGGGAGCTGAACTGTTTTACATCAGCTGGTCCAAAGTGCAATACACATACTTTTTGATTTAAAATAGTATTTTGTATGTGATTCTTCAAAGGCTGGTATGGTTGTACTTTTTCAACATATTACTCAGTGGCCTCTGCTTTTTTGTTTCTGAAGCTAGTGAAAAAAGAAGTATTAAGATAACAGCATTATGGATACTGTTTCTTGATATGCTTGTTTATTGGCTGCTTCGGATGGAAACGGAGCTATCTGCATGTTTGAAATCAAAGTTACAAATGCTGCTCAGGCCAATTACTACCAAATCATGTTACTACTTGTGCCCAGGGGAAAGACACCCTCGTCTTCACCTTGCTCTTAGTGCTTAGTGCATGATAGGAAAACTCATGCCTACTTCTGTCAGCACTGGAAGGATCAGCTACAGATCTGCTTGAGATACTGGAATTTCTGTCTAGTAGGCTATCCCAAACATTTAATGTTTTCCTCATGCTGTTTTGCAACAAAATATTCCACTATTGACATTTGTCATGGAGTGAAAAGTTCTGAAAGTATTTCTCTGGAAAGATTGTGAATCTTCATTTCTGTTTACTGGGTTGAATTGAAATGGTTGGTTTCATTTTACTGCATTATTACTCCCTTTTTTAGGTATCATAGGAGTCACAGCACAAATGTCTGATCCTTCAGTTACTCTTCTGAAGCAGGGTCTGCAGCCCAACTGCATTTTTCAAGATGGGCTGTGGTGAAAGTCCTGCTCTGATCGACAGTGAGAGCTGAGCCAGAAAAAAAAAAGAGCTTTGTGTTAAGAAAGATATTGTGTGAAAGGAAACATTTCTACCAGAAACATTTCTGACAGAACAATTTTGACCAGCTTTTTTCCAGCAGGTAGTTCAAAAAGACACAATGGACATAAAGTCTGAAACATCCTCTTGCATCCAGGTGTGATTCTTCAAAAATAGAGTTGAAACTCACTAGATGGATATAAAGCAGAATGGGCTACTAATTCAAAAGATAATAAAAGCCGGTATAGACACTTTTATTTTTGTTTAAAACCAGCTTATTTCAGAAGGTTATAGGTAAACACAGAAGGAAGAATTGGTCTAACATGAGTTGATATAATCCATCATAGAAAGGGAATAAAAATAAGAGCACGTACAGTATATTACATCTTTAAATAAACCAGAACAAGTTTTCTGGGCAAAGTCTTAAGGTGGATACAGAGATTGTGGGGTCATATATGGTCTGACCATGAGCAGCTGAAGGCATTTAAGAGGCCCCTGCAGGACCTGAGAGCAGGCAGAAGATTCTGAACTCTCCCTGGATCAGGAGAGCTTAGAAGTCGGTGAGGCGGGTGAGAACATTACATCTGAAGTAAAGGATGAAGCACCAAGTAACTGAAGAGCCTAACCCTGACTGATGTAGTAAACAGAATAGGTCAATGTATAAATGCAAGCGTTTCCTTGTTACATTTTTGAAGATATTTGAAATATAAGGTCATTTTACAGGAACATCAAGGTGAAAAGTCAGATTAAGTTTATATTTGGCTCCTTATGAACGATCTGTGTCTGTAGCACATAGCCAAATGGTACCAATGTGAGTGAATTTATGATCCAGCCATGTTCAGTCTTCATAATTCTATGTTGACTAATACACATGCAAATTTTATTTTTCTCTACAGGGAGAAATGCTGTCACCTACCACAGGTGCCTCTGCATTGCTTGCAGGCCTCCACCGCCCCCATCTTCCCTACAGACTATCAAAGGAATTAGGATTTGGAAGGATGGATGCACAGAGCACCTAACGTTTAAGTAAGTGCAGGTTAGACGCCTCCATGGGAGACATCCCGTAGGAGGATGAGATCCCACCCAGAGTGCTAATAAAATGGTTCCTTTTACAGGAAAGCTCATGCTGGCAAATTGTCTTTGAAAACAATACTGTTTGCTTAAACAAGAGCATTCTGTATTTTCTCCCAGAAAAGGCAGCGTGGCTGGCGAGGCACTGGGGTAGGACTCCAGACATCTGAGCTCTGGTGCTGGTTTTGCCTCCAGGCTTGTGTAGGGGTATGGGCAAGCTTCCCTCGAAATACTGTGCCTCTCTTTCTCCCTCCAGCCTTGTCTGTTGGAATAGGATCATATAAAACCTACCACAAATCTGGAACTTAGAGGAGGCCTTTAGTTGCTACTGAAGTACAAATAAAAATAATACACAATTCTTCCACTGAGTTTTTAAAGCATACAGTCTGGGAACAAAACCAGCCACATTTTACACTGAAAAATCACATAGAACAAGAGGAAATGCAGATGGTCTTACTAAACTGTCTTATGAACTGTTGACTAGTTAATTAATCAAAGTTGCCTAGTGATTTATTGATTAACAGAGATTCTACGGTCATGAACACATCAAATTTCACAATGGAAGTTTTAGCAATGGAAAAAAGCTGGTCTTTCAGTTCCTTCCTCAATCAAGACAGAAAATAATATGAGAATTGAGGACATTTCATGGATTAAACCAATGCCAAGCAATCTAATTATGCGATAGTATTGCTTAGGCAATTTTGACTATTTTTTTCCATGCAGCTTTTTTCCTTAGTGAAGTGATTTTTTTTTTATATTTTACCAGAGTCGGTAAAATTCCCCAAATAACAAGTCCTATAATGTATTTACTAATATTGTGTAGTCTAATAAAGGATAAATATTGAAAGAATTGCCTTTCCTGTAGGTGGGAAATCACAGAATTAAAATATATTTAAAATTCCCTTGGAGGACTGAGAGAGCAACTTTACCTGTCAGTTGTTGCCTTGACACCGTATCCATCACTGTGATAAGGAGGACATGATAAGTTTTGTATTATTAACAACTATCTGCCTATCTCTAAAATTTCTTATGCACAGCTTTTCTGTAACTAGTTAATTAATCAGTGCAAAAGGCAAGTCATATACAGGTATTAAATTGTTATTCAGAGGACTTTGAGGTCTATGGCTATGCTTGTATGTCCTGGAAGATTAAGTTTCTCTGTCATAAGAGAATCAGCAGGAGGCCTGTTGTGCATGGTCATAAATCTCACCTTTGTACTTGGTAGAGTTCCACTGTGAAGAGGTCTCCTTCTCCAATGTGTAGATATGTTATGAGCCTATCTAAGTACAACTGTAAAAGCTACCATACTGGATGAAACATAATGTTGCACTGTGTAAGACTATCCCTCAGCAAAGGTCAATAGAAGGTTCTTCAGAGGAAGGTATGAAAACTCTGTCATAAGAATCCCCTCATATTAGAAATGGATAGAAAGTTCAATATCTGTTTTCTGACTCCTCAGTAATTCTAGAATTAATTATTATTACATTATATGTTATATTATGTTACTTATACCAGTGAATCTGATTCCAGAAGAGGAAAGGTGATACGGATGTGGTCTTTCATTACCTACCTCTGGCTGCTATATATCCCATTGGGATAGCCTCCAGCTACAAAAGCTAGGGTAGCCTTTATGGTACTCTATTTGAACAAGTGCTAAACTAATCTTTGGCTTAGTAGGTGCTGGGGGAATTCCTTCATATCCCCTTATTACACACCTGCACTGACAGCTCAGTGTACTTAAAGGATGAGGTAATACCATTTCAGTGACAAGCAATCCTCAGATATCTGTGCTAGTAACTTGGTTCTGAGAATGTAGTTAATGTTTCTCCATTGGGAAGAAGGAAACTAATAATTTCTGTTAATTGTCATAACTCTGGAGGATCTGTCCAGATACATTTTTAAATATAAGTTTGAATTATCTTTAGTAAAAAATATGTAAGAGCTATTTTTAATAAAAAAGTGAAATAGATACATAAAAAATAAGTAAGAGTGTCTTTAAATGTAAACATTAGATTTGTCTACAGCAAATACAAGTAGAATAGGCCTATTTTAAAAAATAAAATAATATAACTTTGTGCATACATGTGGTCTATCTTGCAAAGATAAAACCTCCACAAAAATTAGTAGTTTACTTAAATAGCTAAAGAAAATGTACTTTACTTTTTAATTAAGGACTCTACTTTTCATGTTTCCTTCTGAACAGTGCTCATACTGTAGTGTTCTTGATTTAAATGTATGGACAGCAGAAAGATTTTTAAAAGTGATTTTTTGGGGGGGGCGATGTTTAATAACTAGCTTTGTTTATTTGAAAGTGCACTCTATCTTTCTTTACATACAAAATTTCTGCTAATGCCCCAAAAAGCTCCATAGGAAGTACAGGTGTAGAATAATTGTCCGAAGATTAAACACCTACAGTCAGGAGAAGATTTTGGCAGGAAAAATATTTCCCTACCAAAATCATAGGGGAGAGTTCTAATTAAGCATCAAGACCAAAACATATAAAGAAATACTTCTGTCTCTGTATGCAGCTGCTTGTGCTATGTAAATTACCAGCAGGGTGATAGGCACTTTCCTCTGGGGAGTGTCCAAAGATCACAAAACTCTCATTGATCTAATAAAAACCAAAAGGAAAAATATGTCTGGATGTTGGAACAATGCATATTCTTCAAAATCATCTCCTCCTCTATCCTCTGTTTCCCATAAGTCATTTGCTTTAGTGGTCAGTTTTGTCTTTGCGTGCATTTTATTTGACTTAGCTAGCTCCAGTGGGAACTCCATGTACACTGTTGCCTACCAATCGTTCCTTCCAACTGTAAGTAATTAGCTACAGGGAAAAACTAAAGCCAGTAATCCTCTCAAGTTCCAGTCTACCTACAGCAGGCACTACATAGGCATCTCAGTTAAATGTGTGAAGAGAGGTGGGATGAACCAGAGTCCTCCAGTCTTATAATTAGTAGCAGCTTGGCTCTCGTTCTCTTCTGTTCTGTTCTGTTCTGTTCTCTTGACATAGCATTTATTACACCTACGGCTTGCAAGGGGTCTACTGCAGTAGTAAATACTACACCTAGAGTTTGCAGGATTTAGCTCTGATGTTTTATACATTCTATAATGCATGCTACAAAAGAGAAGGGTTTTTTGGCTCAGAAAAGTCTTCACAGAAATGGGGAACAAAGGTAGCAGCCTCCCCTTCACACTGGCATACTGAACTCCATTTTGAAGCAAAGGGTATCAGTGTTTGAGATGAGTGAAGGGGAATGATCTTGGCTTCGACTGAGATCTTCATTCAGCTAGCCTTGCAGCCCAAGACGCCTGTTCCCAATCCCAGCCCACAGTGGGGAATGAAGGAGAGATCCAGCTGTAGCAATCTGTCTCTGGAGATACCTACCAGGGCATTTGATACTGCAGCTGAGCAGCACACGAGAGCTGTAGATCAGCTGAGACTTCCCAGTGACATAGACATGCTTTGGGAGTGTTTGATTCCTTGAAGACTTTTCCTCCTGTCTTTTCCCCCTTTTCACGATTTTCTCTTTCTTTGTGTTTTTCCTCTCTTTATGGAAGAAGCTGAAGAATATGCAATGGGACTGTGGAGTTCTCTGAGTGCTCCCCTTCCCCTCAGAGCTTTTGCACAGTAAGGGAATATGTCACCCTCCATTTGTGCTGGTCCTCAACTGACATTTGCTTGAGCAGTGGCTTTGCAAAACTGGGTCTGGCAAGAACCCGATGAAGTCAAACCTTTGATCAGTTACACAGCACCATAGGTGATGTGGCAGCACTGAGTCAGGGACTGCACATTTTAGTCAGGGGTTACCTTTAATCTCTAATTTGGCAAAACAAAACAAAATAAAACAGAAATACCCCCAAAGCGTTTCATTTTTGCCTTTAATGCCAGAGAGCTTAAGCATGGCAGTTTGGTGATGTGCTATGCAAATTAAAGCCGTGAAAAAACAAAGCTGGTTAAACACAAGTTTTTCTTTAGCAGATAATTATTCTTAGCTGTTTCCACATGCCTCCTTGCAGCCATGAAACCCTGGTACACTACGATGAAAGACTAATTTCAGAACTCACACATGCACTATTTTGTTAGCAGTGGAAGCACAAGCAGAACATCTGGGTGCCAAGTTCAAGCAAAGTGCAAGGTTTTTTTTTTTTTTTTCTGAATTCAATGTTGGTGTGTCCCATCATGTAACTATGATATATGATAAAAGGAAAAATCACAGCCAAACTCAACCTTGTTCAAAGCTAGGTGCTAGTGAAAGGATGGGATGGAAAATAAGTACTAATGGATTAATGTTCCATGATAAATGTTTTATTATAAAAGCTAGTGAGTGATTAGATAATTCTTGCTTCCAAAAGTAGGATTTAAATATTTCTGCCTGGCTTGCAACCAAAATAAATACATCACTTAACTATCTAGTTTAGAGGAACATCTATACGAATAAAAAAAAAAAAAATAAAGACATGCTTTCTTTTGTACTACAGCTGTAGTAATATGCTGCTTACTGTTTGGAACTGTTATGATACATAAAAGGATGCCATCATAAATATTATATGTATAGCCAGAATTGTCCTCTATACAAGCTTTACTGCTGCTGATTCAAATAGTTATTTGAAATGTTGCACAGTGAAAGTTCTGATATTGTTGATATTCTGATCTTACTGTTTTTTAGGAAAATGGAGATACAAACATTGAAAGATCTGAACAGTCAGATTTGTAAGATCTGTGTAAACACTTGATCCAGACCCCTTTTAATTTTCATCAGTACAGCAGCTCTTTAATATGGGTGGACTTGACAAAAAGATGAAGATATTCAATATATTTTGTTGTAAAACTTCTCTTCTTTGTAGATCTTTTCTCATTAATGTATCTCAAAGGACTTCCAGGGGAAATTCCCTTTTCCACTGATGAAGAAACTGAGGTATTCAAGAGCAAAAAAAATTTGTTCAGCATCCAGTAAACTTGTGTCAGACACGGGAGGGAATCAGCCCCAGATGCCCTGGGTCCTAATTCAATATTGTGTTTACAGGATCATGATAGCACTGATTACAGTGGTTATACTTGATGCAAATGTTTGCATCTATACCTAACATGATACATTTTGTTTAGAGAACTGTCTTTAGAGGGGCCAAGTCCTCAAATCAGATTGCAATGATGCCTTCTGTGCATTTTTCTCAGAATAATCAACATCACTTCAAATACCATCTACAGTAATTCAGTCTGAGAACCCTAGGTGGGCCTTGAGAAGATTTGTGGGAGAAAAGGAAGACCCTATCACATCCATTAAAATACTCCCATACTGACTATAATTACTTAAATGTAGGTAAGAAGGGCAGGAAAAATGATGCAATCTGAAAGTCACAGTGACTTAACAGACACTTAACAAATAGGAGTAGGAGTGAGAGGCACAAAAAATTATTTTACCAGAACAGCAGTAGCAAGAACGTTCCCCTGTGATGCAGAGAAGTCTGTTCATGGTTTTTCCTCCTGTCAGCCTAACATCTAAGTCTACTCTCTCTCTGCTCTCTCTTTGTTTCTTATTGAACACCCTTGACTTGATTTGATTCACTCCGCCTAAGGTAATTGAGGGATCAGCCAAGTGGCAAGAGAATAGAAAAGACATGTAGATCAGTCAAAGCAACCAGAAGTTGATGAACAGATATATTATAGATATATCTATAATATATAGATAGATAGATAGAGAGAGAGAGAGAGAGAGAGAGAGAGAGAGAGAGATATTATATGTCTTAGCGCACCCAGCTTTGAAGGATGATATTTTGGTACTTCAGCATTATAACACTCCCAGAGACTATACTTAAGGACTCATACTGGTCTCACTATTAAAGGCAAATAGACCTTTGTCTTCAGCTGAAGTCCAGACAGCCTAGGAATAAGTCCGTGCTTATACATTTTCTCCTAATTGTCTAGAACATGATATATTTAGTAAGTATGTTTAATACATGATGTCTACTGACAGTGGGATGGTGGATGTGGGGGTCAGTCATTGCTACTATGATCTCACCAGGTTGTGCCTTGCAAAGGATCAGAGTACAAGAGCACACATCTTGAGTCTTCAGGGTCCTTTGATTTCAGAGAGATTCTTCTGGTCTCTCATGGATCTAAAAGACAGCAGTTTTGGGCTCAAGCAGCCCAGCTCAAAAGCAAGTAAATATGAGGGTAGGTAGTTTGAGCTGAAGTCCATGCTATCACAGCTGTGCTGCAAACAGTACTCAGATATTCTTTAAAAAGCTTGCTCAGGAATGTCTACTCAAACTACACTCACTCCAGTGTAAACACACCCTTAAAGCAGATGTAGAACATGTCCCAGAGGGAGATAATGCAACATCCAGGGATGGCTGGTAAATAGAGCTGTCTACGTATAGTCACTTTGCCCTGTGTGTTCTTACTAAACTGAGGGTCAGACTTCAACTCAGTGAAAAGCCAGTAGAGCATGACAG